TTGCTTATAGACACTAAGTGATTTCACTTGCTTTGTTCCAAAAACAGTCACTTTGCATTGGATAAACTGTACACCATGTAACAGCAGGCATGGGGTAGCAACAGAGTTACAATGATGTTTTCTTTCAGTCCTCAAAGAAGCAGATGAATCGCTTTGAAAAGCACATGAAGAACTACATTGACAGCAAGCGCTTGAAGCAGGCAAGACGAGCTGTCACAATATCAATCGAAGGCCGCAACATGGCCCTTTAAAGAGGAGTGCAGCAATTGTAAATATGTTATAAAGTGTTCATGAGATTGGTAATTTTATTTTGCTGTATTACATTACATAGTTCATTTGAATTGTACAATGCAGTAGATCAACAATACATTCTTCCTACTTGCAGTTTATTAATATAGCACCTGAAATTTTTTATATTAAATAGTAAGAAACAGGAAATGCAAACAGTTCACTTTAAATAATAGTTTAAATGAAATGTAAATTAAAATTATGGAAATGCACACAATATGCTGAACTTTTAGTCTGGTTTCCATGGAAGTAATGAAGACTAATTTGGTTATTTTCTGTACCCCCCCCAAATGCTTCTCTAATCACTGATCACAGTTTAACCACAAGAGTCGATACTGAAAATACAGCATGAAGGTCATGCTTTGTGTGTTCCTTTAGTGTTGTATTTGTTACGGCAGGTGCAGAACTGGCACCACACAGTGTTGGATTTTGAAATGTTCTGTGAGTGATTACGTAAAACTTTTACCTTATCAGAAGATGAAAGGTTTCTGGGTTATTGCAACATGTAGTCTCATAGAAGTGATTGATATTTCACAGGTGCATACTGCCTCCATCATCAGGGCAGTGAACACAGTATTACAGAAGGTTGTCATGTTCATGCTCACTGCTGTGAGAACATGAAATCTCACTTTTATTTGGTTAGTTTCATTATAAATAATAATCAGGCACCCAACAAATGTTAGATTTTCCTTCCATTTTTATGATAAACAGCACATTCTCAACATTAGAGACATTATTACATTCTACAAGAATATTTTAGGTTGTTTGTGAATTTTGTATGAAATATTCTTTGTTTTTATGCAGCATAAAGGAGAATTGAACATAAAACTGAAATTCTGCAGTAATGAAATTTCTAGAAAGTTGCTCATTGACTCTTTAAAGCCAAGTGGTAATTTTTGTGCCACCAAATTTAATGATCGAATATTGAAGTTTGTCCACAGAATCTATTCCTGTGTTTTGTATGATTCTCAGAGTAAACAGTGATTGTTTCCTCAAACAAGATAACCAGTTGATCTTTAAATTGGAGACCTTTTGATATTTCTTTGTGGTAAGGACTGAATTCTAAAATAATATTGATATGTACATGCTTTAGCTTCAAGTGTTTTCATGCCATTTAAATTTATTGTAACTGATGCTATTAGATGAATTAATTTAAGTGTTCTGTATACAATGTATTTCAGTATATTATTTCTGGCAAGGACATTTACTGTTTGTTGTTGCTGTGTGTTAGTTTCTATTTAATTGTTTAAAACACTGAGAGAGAGCCCCTTAATAAGCATTCGAATGTAAGTGATTAAAATAATGAAAAATCTCAAGAAAGGAATGTACAAAAAAAATTTTGTCAAACGATTAATAAATCTGCTTCTGCTCTAAAAAGTGTGTCACAAGAGCAAAATTTACGTGGCTACAGAAATGTCTTCAGTATGCATTCTGGAAACTATTTTCTGAACAGTTTCCTGCTGGCAAATCAGGAACCACCATTTTAGGGGTCATGGTGAATTTGATTTGTCTCTTAACAGAGGTAACCAGATAGAATTTTTGCAGCTACTAAAAGATTGTGATCCCCTCCTCTATGACCACACAGAAACATGTCATTGGCCATTCAAAAAAATAGATTAAAGCCATCCACAAAGTAATGCTAGATGATATTCCAAAACAAATTCAAAAGGCACCTTATGTTCCTGTTGTGTTTGATAGGACTTGTGATATTCAGATGATTTCACAGTTAACCGTAGTGTTGGGGCATATTCATGATAGTAAAATTCAGGCAAGATGCAAGGTTTCTTTGATGTTAGTGCTGGCAGCATTTCTGTTGGTCTTTTCAGTTGTAGACAGAATGTAGTTTCAGAATTCAATTTAGGATCTAAGCATGTAGCTAAGATATATGATGATGTGTCAGGTTATGAGTGGAAATATGGTGTTCAGCAAGTTCAGGAAGTGGAGGCATATCCACATTGCTATGTACATATACGAATTGAACATTGTACTTTGTCAGCCTTAATAATAATGAAGAATGCAGCTGCCAGCTAGTCGGCTTTGGCTCTCTGGAGCTGTTACGCCACAGATTTAATTTAATTTATGGGAGGTAGTTTGCTATTTGTTATCTTTTGCTAAGATGCGTATTAACCCTTTAAAGCCTACTGGTACCTATGTGTACTCTCTGCTTGAACAATGATTAATGTTGCTTTCTGTATTTGTAGATTTTGTATTATTTTCAGTGTAAACAGCAATTGTTTTCATAAACAATGTTAATAAACTGATCTTAGTAATGGTGATATTGTAGAGGTGTTCCATCAGAATAATAAGGCTTGAGCCTCAACTGAATATATTAACATTAACCCTTTGCAGTCCATTTTAAATACCACTACGGCTCTCTGCTGGTCTATTTAAATACTGTATAAATTCAACTACTATTATGAACAGGTTTGATTTTCTTTCTTTCTTGCTAAATAAAGTGAAATATGGTCTGAAAGGAGGTCAGTTCCTTTTGTTTGAATGCTGACCTTGTGAAATATTTTTCATGGACTGTACCACTGTCGCAAGTGGGATATGTAATAAGTGGTGCCTTTCTGCTTGCTGTCACTTTCTTGCTAAATAAAGTGAAATATGGTCTGAAAGGAGGTCAGTTCCTTTTGTTTGAATGCTGACCTTGTGAAATATTTTTCATGGACTGTACCACTGTCGCAAGTGGGATATGTAATAAGTGGTGCCTTTCTGCTTGCTGTCATTCGGTAGAGGATAAAGCAAGACCAAGTCGGTAGTTATGTCTTTGGCAACGTCTAAACATCTCTTATTTTGCATGCAGATATACGATGTATACGATGTATGGCAAAACACTGGGTTTTGAATCCTGGCTTGCTTGGAAACACGTCAGAATAAGATGACTTTCCTCTCCTTCCTCATATCACTATTACAAGGTACACAAAGACTTACCAGGAAAACTATGATAGAAGTAGTGCAAAGAAGAAGGCTTGAATGATATGCTGACACTGTTTTCCAACCTCAATTTGACTCCAGTTCACATAAGAAATTCGTAAAATACATGGCAGACTCAGTCCGATATCGAACCGCAAAGGGTTATTAGTAAAGTGTGTGTCTAAAAAGTGTACACATTTTAATAAAGCAAAAATACCCATTACATAAATCAGGAAAGTTCAATATATTGTTAGTCCAGAAGCCATAGTTCTTGCCTCATGGTGAACTATTGAAGATGTTCAGAATTAACTTCTAGATACTGTTGACAGTGGGGAACAACTGAGTGACAAATGTTCAAGGTGTCTGCTGGGATGGCTGTGCATGACCGTTCATTTCATGCTTTAGTTCTTGGAGTGTTACTGGTTTTGAATTGTTCACTGAATCCTTTATGTCACACTGCAATTAAAAGTCAAGTTGAGTTAGATCAGGCAAACCTAAACACTGAAAGCAGTACCATTAATGAACCCTTTGGGGCACTAGGCAGCACCCATCATATCAGTGCCTTCTACCAGTATGGTTCTGTGCAGTTGGTGACTTTTGTTCTTACAAAACCAAAATGGAACATGAGAAATAAAAGAAAAATGGCAGAAGCCATATAAAACAGTTCTCTGATACAGAATCTCTATCTGAAAGTTGACCCTCAGTAGGGATCTAGCAGTTTTGGCATACTACCTCGGGGAGCTGAGAAGAAAACTGGGGACAAGGACTAACCAATTGTATATAACTTTTTCTGTTTATAGAGCAGCTTTGGCATATCATCATAGAGAGCTAGCAGTCCTACCATACCTGTGGGCTGGGAACATTCCACTGCAGGGAGCCAGTGGTTTGAACAAACCTGTGGATAAAAGTGACCTACAATATGTAGCCTTCAAGTAGGCAGGTTTTGTCTGGCAACACAAGTATCTGGATGTGGCAGGAGGAAGCTTAAAAATGCTAGGAGCCAAAATAGTACTGAGGCCTCATGGCAACTAGGGTATGCAGCACCACTCAAGTTCAGGAAAACCCTGACCAGGGTGCCTAAGAGGCTGAGTGCAGTACTCTAATTAAAGAGATTAACCCTCACCAAGAACCCAGCGACCTACAGAAGCACCGTGATTATGGCCACCAATACAAGGGCTCTTAAACACAGTTTCCATCTGAAAGTTGATTCCTCTCATCAGGGAGCCAACTGTTCTGACATACCACCTTGTGGAGCTGGAAGTATCAGTGAACCCAGGGATGCTTACAAATGTTCCCCATTTCCCATAAAACAAAACTGGAACATGGGAAATAAAAAAAGAAAACAGTGGAATCCACTCAAAGGAGCTATTAAACATACAGCGAACATTTGAAAATTTATTCCTCTCAGCATGGAACCAGCAGTTCTGATATAACATCTTCGGGATATGACAGTATTAACTAACCCAAGAAAGGTTAGATGACCGTCATGCAAGATATTGTACTTCATGGAAGGTACAGGGCTGCTAGTGGACTGAAGAGAACGGGGATGCACAAATGATCAAGAAATGGTTGCTGTACAAGGAACGCCCCATTCACACTCATTCATTGTAACCGTAATTGCAATTTTATTTCTTACATTTCAGATCGTTCGTTCTACAACCGGTCCAAGGAAAGTGTTGGCTGTAGTGTTGATACAAAGGTCATGGATCCCCCTAGCGGGGTTGAAGGAGGCGTTAAGTTATCTGTGAATATGTGATTTTGTATGCTATGTTACTACATTATGTGTTGGTATCCCTGTTTGTGATGTTGGTTAGTTGGTGGTTTTGGGGTTATCTGTGGTAGGGAAGGTGACGCCGTTTTGTATGCACGTGGTTGGATATCATGGCTGAGAATACAAACCGTAAGTGTATACATATAGAAAAATGTGAGCCGGTTTTTGAGAAAAGTGCAAAGTGGATGTCGGGGACTGCTCCCGTAGTATGTCTTGTTTGTTTTTCCATATGAAGTTTGGTTAGGATGGGATCCATTATCGGCAGCATGTTTTTTGTTTTTGTGAGTAAATGGAATTATGAACAGCCACTGCCACTAGATTCTGCTCAGCACATCACTCCCTTTGTTGACGATTTGCCTTAATATTGTTCTGCTCGACACGTCGCTCTGTACATGACTTTATTCACTTAGTTCACGGATTTGTAAGAGAGCATCCTGTTGCGGTGTTTTAGAACGACAGTGTATTTTTCATCAGTCAACACCGCTGTAGTCTCGGATCGGGACCCCCGGATTATCAAGCCTCTTTGTTCGCATCCATCATTTGTGATTTCAAATTCTGTCCGAGTTAGGACTCTGCGTCTTTGCCGTTTGTACCTCCGTACTCGCCGATAACAGTCTGCTATGGTTAGATGAGCCGGGGTAGCTCAGTCAGTATAGTGACTAGCTACGGGCTGGACGACCGGGGTTCGATCCCCGACGATGGCAGAGGATTTTTTTCATCTAGCCTCTGCGTCCAGACCGGCTCTGGGGCCGACTCAGCCTCCTCTACAGTGGGTACCGGGGTCCTTTCCCGGGGGTAAAGCCGGCCGGGGCGTGATGCTGACCACTCACCCCCATCTAGTGCCTAGGTCAAGGAAGAGAGGAGCTATACAGCCTCTCACCCCAAGCGCCTACATGGCGTATAGTGGGACAAACTTTACTTTATGGTTATATTAGCAGTATTGCAAAAATATACCGGCCACCCGTAGGACACAGAAACCCCAGCACTGTTACGATCGTGATACTATGGAAGTTTGCCCCAACAGCATTCACCAGATTTGCAATTACGGTCGACACGAATGATAGTCCACTGGTTGAAACCCATATTACTGCATCAGTAATTTACGAATTAAAAAACCAAAGATTTTAACACTACATTCTTATGCACCATTTTACTCTTTATATCTTAATTTAAAAACTTTAAGGGTTTTCTAATATTGTGAATTTGTTTTAGAAGTGACTCCATATTGATTGTTTTTGTTGTTTAGTTTAGATTCAAGTTATTAACCAGAAGATGGCCGAATAAGGTCGAAACATGTTATATTTTATCATCATACCTATAATATGAGCACTATTGTATTAATAATTAAAGGACTAAGCAATGTCAAGAATGTGACTCATGTGTTGCATGTTAACTGATGAAAAGTACATCATAGTTCTAGTAACAGACTCTGTATCTACTGCTGAGTTAAAAGAGATAAGGTAGGTAATTATGCAGAACTAGGAGGAAACAGTTGTGACATATATTTAAGGTACTTTATGAGCAATATGATGAAAAACTGTGGTCACAATAGTAATTAACTGGCAGGATTGGAATCGGGTACATTCCAAATTCAAGTAAAGTGCATTACTGCACATTTGGTCCTTGGTTTCAGTGTTAGAGGGTTGTATTTATTGTCCACATTTTTGTACACCATAACTTCCTTGAATAGCATAGAATATAATAGAATTTATTTTCATTCCATAGATCCTTCATAGGCCTAAGCCATGGATGTAGAACATGCCATTTCAAAAATACAGTGCATGTTTCTAAGACAGTTATAAATTACATAGTTATGACAGTGATTTACAGATAACTACAATATTACAGCAAGAAATCATCACTGTTGTTGCTCACAAGCATTTATAATAGTTGAGAATTTTTGGTTGAGGTAAATTCTTCTGTTGAGTAGAAGGAGTGAGATAGGAAATTCTCTTTTAGTATTAGCTTACATTTCTTTATAACATGATTTAGACCTATGATGGGAGGAAGATATTGAATAGCTTAATTCCAGTATAGTAAACTCCTTTTTGATATTTACTTGTGTTCTATATCTTGTTCTTTGCAGTGACATTTTATATTCTTTTTGACAGAAATACTCAGTCCTTCGTTTGTCATATTTTGTCTACAGTAACTATCTTGTAAAGTACAGATAGCCCTCGATTTGCGCCGATTCAGAATAACGCCGATTTTGTAACCAGCAAGTCAAAAAGTGAAAAAAAAATTACTACTATTTATAACGTTTTACAATGTATCTCGTACTGATTGTTATAGTAAATAGTAATTCTCACATCGCTGATTTTGAATAAAAATTATAAATACAGTCATCTCTGCAATACGTATGTTTCGTTAACGCGAATTTGCTCCAATGAGATCGATGAATCGGTAAAAGCTGTTTGTCAAATGCAAACTTTTGCATATGCGAGTTTGCTCTTATGCTGTTTAATTCCTGACGCTGTAAACTTTCAAAGGACTAATTTCATCTCGTAAATAGTAATTCTCACATCGCTGATTTTGAATAAAAATTATAAATACAGTCATCTCTGCAATACGTATGTTTCGTTAACGCGAATTTGCTCCAATGAGATCGATGAATCGGTAAAAGCTGTTTGTCAAATGCAAACTTTTGCATATGCGAGTTTGCTCTTATGCTGTTTAATTCCTGACGCTGTAAACTTTCAAAGGACTAATTTCATCTCTGCGGAGATGCCGGTAATTTTGCTACGCGATTTTCTATAGGTCGGCGTCTTCCATGAATGCAACTATCGCATAACAGCAGAGATGCCTGTACACATCAATCACATGTAAGAATCGCAGTCTATCGCGGGGACCAACGCATTGCCGATTATAAGTGTATAAAATATATTTTTTAAATTCCCTTTATTTTATTTACTTTTTTTCAGAGCTTTAAATGTTAATGCCATTATATTACTCGTCAATGTTTGGGTGCTGGGAACGCATGTCATTGACTTCCCATTGATTTACATTATAAAAGAGTTTCAATTTACGCCGATTCCGTTTACGCCGGTTCGTTCAGGAACGCATTCCCGGCGCAAATCGAGGGTTACCTGTATAATTTTTGAGATTGGCCTGTAAGATATCTCGTGTTTATATACGGTGTTCAGCTAAACACAGAATATGAAGTATGTGTATATTATTAATGAGCACCGCTAATTCGTCAGTTTAGTTTGAAATTCATCCAATGTGATGGTATACCACAAAATTGTTGATTGTATTCTAATTTAGAACTGGTTTATTTGCATATATTTCGATGTCTTAGATTTGAGCCTTAATTAAAAAAGAAACTTAAACCTTACATCAGTGATTACAGATCTGACTGGCAGTAAGTTGCACAAGATTCTCCTTACCCCTTGAATTAAAGTGCAGTCCCTGTCTGGTTTGGTCATTCCTGTTTGGGAATGATGCATCTATTAATCCAATATGTGATCTCTCTGCATTCCAAAGTGCATGCTCATATCACCTGAAGTTCTGTAGCATATGAGTGAGATGACAAGTGTAGCACTATTCTATAGAATGAGGGACTGAGAATCTTATCTTTGGATTGTGAAAGCAATTACTATATTTTCCTTTTATGCAGCTGTGATGGGGGGTGCAGAAAAGGTGAAAAAGAAGAAGAAAAAGAAGGTTTACAAGTTACTGGGCGAAGTGCAATGTAAGACTGACTTCCAGCTTGAATCATCAGAACATGTGCAGCCTCTGGACACATCACAGTGGCCGCTGTTGCTGAAGGTAGCTTTATTCTGTGTTATTTCTGGGAAACAGTTGGTAGGATGAGATTTTAGGTTCTCATGGTGGCAGATATGAAAATGGCTTTCTGAGTTGTTGCACTGTGTAGTGTGGTAGAAGTAAACTTCTACCATATTACATGGCATAGCAACCCAGAAGACTGCCATCTTCAGTTGGTATGATACCATCACAACTGCAATGCGAATTCTATCACGTTTTAGAACTTCGACAAGTTGTGTTGCCGGACAAATCATTACACCCCACTGCCATTTGGAGCTTCACCGCTCAAGAGGGACATACGTGAATATGTGCGTTCAGGATACCTAAACCTTGACAAGCCTTCTAACCCAAGTTCTCATGAAGTAGTGGCATGGGTTAAGAGGATACTGAAAGTGGAAAAAACTGGTCATTCTGGAACACTGGATCCCAAAACTACAGGTAATGCCTCTATTAATTTTAAGTGATCAGCAAAATCACAGGCTGTCTCTTCCATGCAGACCAGTGCATTTACCTCTGTTTAGTTTGTATTAATATCAAATATTAATTTATTAGCATAAGAGTCGCAAGTTTGAAATTTTGACTTGAAATTAAATTTCTTCATCTAAAATTATTCTTTGTCAGGACTTTTTCCAACGTCTGTTCTTTAAAATCACGACGTTTCGGAGGCTGGTTCTGTCTCCATCTTCAGGTGAGAGGTACCTACTCTGTTGGGTCCTTGTAAACTACCGTCTTCAAAACCCTTTAGAATACCGTGAAAACAACATCATTGCACTGGAAATTTGTATGTAGCTTTTGGCCATTTTGTGGAAAGTAATACAGCTGATAGTAATTAGAGTGGTTCATCTACAGGCTGTCTGATCGTGTGCATTGAGAAAGCAACGCGGCTTGTCAAGTCCCAGCAGAATGCAGGAAAGGAGTATATATGTGTCTTCAAACTGCATTCAGCGGTAGACAGCGAGAAGAAGGTGAGAGAAAGGCACTAAGTAAATCAAGTTCCTTTGTATTTGGTAGTCCCCATGACATCTTTGAGTCACTTGCCTGCCCCAAGTTAATGTACTATGATCCGTTTGGTTTTAACTTGTAATGTCTCGAAGAAATACACAGATTCATCCAAGAAAAATAAAGGCTAGCAGTAGCCTGCAGATATGAAGTGGAGTTGTTTTGTTTAATTAGTATATGGTGTAACCACAATATGTCATGTGCAGTTCTTAATGTTATCATGTCTGGAAAAGTCACATAAAATGAAAGTTTTTTTCTGGTATCTTCATCATAATGAGCAATTTATAACTAGCCTTCAGTTTTATTTTGTAGCTTTTTGCATTGACTGTATTTATAGTTTTGCTTCTGAAGCTGTTTATTACTAGTCTGTGAACATAACTTTAACCCAGTGCTTCCCAAACCTGGGTAAATTACCCAAAAAGGGTAAAAGTGGTTTTCCTTTGGTTAACGACACACCTCGGAATACACATTAAAATTTACCGTAAAAGTACAAGAAGTACTCTGAAGAAAGCGATCAGTCATTGTGCACCGATACTCTAAAACAGCCTAACAAGTATTTATTTGCTATTTAATAAACACGCCATACGCTTGTTATTAGATTCAGTCATTTTTGCTGTGATCACCCACTTAACAAAACCATCTTTTCGTTTCAAGGAATACTTTCCTGAACTAGAAAGTTCTGTCTATCATTGGATTGTAAACCAATTTCTGTGTGACTTGACTGAAATCTTTGATAGTGTTAATGGTTTTTCAGAGCAAATGATGGAGCTTAGGTCAGTGCAAAAAAGTTATTTGAATAAAAAAGGGCCATTTGGAGTCTTTCTGGTTAACAATTCACGATGAATATCTTGTGGTAGCTGAGGAGGCCGTGATGCAGTTTCCGAGCATCTGCATGTGTGAAGTAGGATTTTCCACTCTTGCCATCATAAAGACCGCAAAACGAAACTGTTTGCTGAACCCCGAATGCGATGTGAGGTGTGACCTGTCTCCAATTTTGCGGAACTAGTAAATAAGATGGAGCAGTGGCATTGTACTCATTAGTTGGGACCTGGGTGATGAAATATTCATGGTGAATAATTATCAAATTTTTTGTGGCTGCTAAAATGTTTAAAATAAAGATATTGTTTGCTTCATATTTTTTATCGATCTCTCTCCACTTGTCATATAGTGCAGTTAGTGTTTTACCTACATTGGGTAAAAAGGACTTTCTGATAAGCGGTTTTGGGTAATGAAGGAAAAAGTTTGGGAAGGAGTACTCTAACCTAACCATTGTTCCTGGCTATCCTAGGAGAAGAAAATCCACGTGCCAGGCTGTACTGTTTGCATAATTTATTTTGTTGCCTCAAGAGGGGTGGTCATCTTGATTGTGGTGGTGTGACACTATCTGCACCTGTCCAAATACCATTCTTTGTTAGGATCTGAAGTTTTCACAGTAGTGAATATGAAGGTGGCTGTTTTCTGGGCTGTGGCACTGTGTAGTCTGGTAGAAGTTTACTGGCCTTTCAGAGGTATTTGCTGCAGCAAGTACCTCTGAAATGTGGTAAACCCAGAAGACAGCTGTCTTCATTTTTTAACAGTGTGCACATGTAACTATGGATTGAATAACACCACCCATATTCTTTTTTACCTGGAGGGATATCATTGAACATATGCTTTGCAGTCCCACAGCATCCAAGCCATAATTGCTGCATTAGAGAGCAGATGCCAAGTAAACTTATGGGGTACAGCTGTATTATCCTAACGTCTATACACAGGACTCCAAATTGGTTTTTTCCTTCTAGGTTTTCAAACCTATACCTTCTGTGCGTTTTTATACATTTTCATCACATCCTGATTATGCCAAGTTGGGTATAAATTTGAAGATGGCTGTCTTTGGGTTGTAGTACTGTGTAGACCAGACTACGTGATGCTGCAACCCACTCACTGCTGTGAGAACCTCAAATCCTACTTGAGTAAAATTTGTTAAGCTCTTCATTCACTCACTCTTTGGTGCAGGAAATTCTTTGAAAAGTCAATTGCATACTTGGCATGTCAAAGAATAGCCCATTTTCTTTGTGGAATTTGAAGGTTCCATCACTGTGTTCACAAAAGCCCACAATCGGACTATCCTGATCTAGCTGCATCCAGTTCAGCTCATCATTTTGTAATTTAATTCATCCCTCTGTGATGTAGAATGCTGTGTCCATATCAGCACGTTACATCACGTGTATTACTGTACTCACATCAGTCAGGGGGTTATCATATCCATAGCAGTGAAAATGTTACTTGTGTGATGTCAGGTTTCGCTGGAGCTGGAGCGACTGAAAGGGGCTCTTTTCCAACGACCACCACTAATTGCAGCAGTGAAGAGGCAGTTACGCGTGAGAACTATTTATGAGAGTAAATTGTACGAGTATGACATGGAGCGCAACATGGGTGAGTTGGCCTTGTCCCTCTTTGTTTGCTAGTCTGACTCATATAGAGATTACTAACATCTGTGCATTCCAGGTATTTTCTGGGTGAAGTGTGAGGCTGGAACATACGTGCGCACAATGTGCGTGCACTTGGGACTTCTGCTTGGAGTTGGGGGGCAGATGCTGGAGTTGCGCCGCAACAGGTCGGGTAAGTCCTTAAGTTGGCATCTTTTTAAAAAGGTAAAAAGCTCTGACCATCAAAATGTATCAGCATGAGGATGAGGGTTTAGTGGTCAGGCAGAGGTGGTGAATGAATTATTGTATCTTGTGCAGTTGAATTATTGTCCTTTGTTTTCATGGCTGGAGTTTATTTACTTAAAAGTTTATGTCTAGTTTATTTAGTCATGCTTTCAGTATATTAGAGGATGATAGTGAATAATGAATTGAAAATTATGTGGAAGTGGTTGTGGTCTAATTCAGAGTACTATCCCAGCATTTTCCTGGAAGGACTGAGGAAAACCATGCAAACCCTCAGTCAGGATAGCTAGTTTCCAGGCCAACTTACATACCCAGGACCTCCTGAATACAAAGTATGAGTGCTAATCACTTGGCCATAGTGTTTGGCCAGCAGGAGTTCAATGTACAGCTTCATATCAGGAATGAACTGTGTAAAATGATGGGAGGTTTGCCAATATTTCAGCAAATATTCCAGTTGCCTCTTCTATATATAAGAACTTCTTAGTCTCTCATAATACATTTATCCTGAAGATGGAAACTGCAGTGTTTTGCCAAAAAACTGGAGAACTTTCAACATTTTATGTGGCTTTTTCTGGAGAGCCAAAGTTATACATTATATTGTTGGAGTATTTGGTATGAATAACGTTGGTAAATAATTTACATTTAACATGTCCTTTACTCCTGTCTTGATTAAAACCAATAAATATTTCTTGGGGTATGCATGAGGTGGGTGAAGTTACAGACTTTATTGTCAGTTACTGAAATCATCGCGTCTTTATAGTAATGTGTTCTGTGATAGAAGAGTGTCCGTGTTCTTCATTTTGTGTTGTGTCTTGCCTGCAGCATATATTTATCAACGGTCAGTTGAAGGACGGAGAACTATGTTATTATGTCATCAGCTAGCTGAGGTGTTTGATGGTAATGAGTTGCTGTATTTTCATAACAGCATAGCCATGAAATTTGTTTGGCATTTTATCTGGACTAAATTTCAAAGCTGAAATTTTGTCACTTTCTGTTGTAGGCATACAGTCGGAGGAAGCTGGCCTGGTAACGTTGCATGATGTGCTGGATGCTCAGTGGTTATATGAGAATCACAAGGATGAATGCTATCTTCGCAGGGTGATCCGTCCACTTGAAGGCTTGCTGATCAGCCATAAGCGGATCATCGTGAAGGACAGTGCGGTGAGTTGCTGTTTGCACTACAGTGGCAAATGGTGTGATCTGGCTAGTAGTGCACCGCCAGATCACTGAAATTAGGTGAATGTAAGAGACATTTTCTTTTCTCCAGTCAATAAACGTTTGGATGTTTGCTTGGAATCATGTAATTTACTCACCACAGAATATGATGACCTTCATGCGTACCACAGAAGCAGCTGTTTCAGAACATGACTGCAAGTCCCAGTCTGTGCTTTCATGCATGTGTCACATTGAGAAAGTCTCTTTAACATTGCTACATCATGCAGTGATAATCATGCTTTTCATGACTTTCCTTAGCTCAGTCAGTATAGTGACTGGCTACGGACTGGACGACCGGGGCTCGATCCCCGGCAGGGGCAGAGGATTTTTCCTCTAGACTCTGTGTCCAGACTGGCTCTGGGGACCACCCATCCACATATCCAATGGGTACCGGGGTCCTTTCCTGGGGGTAAGGCGCGGCCAAGGCGTGATGCTGACCACTCACCCCCATTCTAGAGCTGAGGTCAAGAATGAGTAGGAACTATACCGCCTCTCCCCCCAAGTGCCTACATGGAGCATAGTGGGACAGTTTACTTTACTTACTAGAATCATTAATCATGGTAAATTAGTCTGGTTGTTTTTTAAACTTTAGTTTTAGCATTTTGACCCTTTTTTGGTGAACAGTAACTTTGTATGAATTTTTTTAAGGGTGTTACTCAAGGTTTAGAACTTTATAATGGACAAATTAATGATAAAAGATGAGGTACCCTGCCTACCTTTCTCCAACCTTGGGAGTATACATAATGACAAAAAAGATATGCTAGGACTTTTCAGGTTTTGTAATGTGCTTGTACCTGTGGTTAACAACTTGCAAAAATCTAAAACTGTTTTGTTGACCATGCTTTCTGTTTTCAAAAATTGACAGTTATTGGGGTTTGGGGGAATTTTACAACCTTTGTAATGTAAATAGTTCACAGAAAAAACAAAAATCTTAAACAGCACACTTTCAGTGTACATTAGATCTTCTGCATTTTGGTCACAAAGAATTGATGCTCTTTACACTCGGCTTAAATTTAATAACTCAAAACACAATAAAAGAGTTTGTAAAAACCAAGAAATTTTGAGATATTGACTTGTCTGCTTGATAATCAGGAACTGGCTTTTAGAGGTCTTGAATCTGATTTGTGCTTTGAAACAGAGGTTCCTAGGTAGCATTTTTGCAACTACTAAATGATTATGATACCCTCCTGAATGACAAAGAAACAGCTGCTGTTTTCAAGGGCACGTCATCAGCTATTCTAAATAATTTGGTTTAAGTCATCCATGAAATGATGCTAGATGAAATTTCAAGACAAATTGAAGAAGTACCTTATGTTCCTGTTTTGTAGGATGAAACTTGTGATGTTCATTGTGTGGTTTTACAGCCATAACATTGAGGTGCGTTTATGATAGTAAAATTCAGGCAAAATCCAATTGGTTTTACTGACGTTAGTGCTGATAGATGTTTTTGCAAGTTTCAAAGTTCAGTTTAGGATGTATGCTTGTGGGTCAGATGTATGATGTTATGTCACTTGTTAGTGTACACTTGAATGGTCTTCATAAGTCTTCTTCTTCTATGGCTCTCCGGTCTGTATTCGCTCCATGGCCTCCTCAATTCTCCTCTTCCATTCAGTCCTCTGTTAGGTACATCTGTCTGAGGCTTTGATTGAGGTTTCGAAACATCTTCCTTTTTGCGGTGCAAGGTTGTTAGCCTTGCAACCTACCCCTAACCTGGAGGACCAGGGTACCTGTCTTAGTCTGACCTCCCCCCCCTTGACCAATCTGGCTAGGGAGGCCCTACCAGTAGCTCTTGGGGTCACTGAGGTACTCAAGCCCCACCACCACGACAAGGTGCAGGTACCATTAAGTGGGGGTCTTCATAAATATTAGATGCATATCCACATGGTCTTCATGCACTGTGATTCTTATCTTGCTAGCTTAATTTTATGGAGCATGATGTTTCTTACTTGGATGTTATTTTCTTAAACAGCTTTAACATATTGTTCTTTGTAGTGGTGAATTGTGTTTTCTTTGCAGTATGGACTGAATTCTTAAATATTATGTAGGTGAGCTTTGGCTTTAAAAGGTTAAATAACATACAAGCCAACCACCTCAGCATTATTTGTTTGAAAGTGCAAGGGCATTCCCAATGCACAGTTGCTTGATTATGTCAATGTATTTTGCTGACAGGTGAATGCTGTGTGCTATGGAGCAAAGATCATGTTGCCAGGTGTGCTGAGGTATGAGAACGGCATTGAGCTGAATGAGGAGATTGTGATTGTGACAACGAAGGGAGAGGCTGTTGCACTAGGTATGGCAAGCTGACAGGTACTCCTCACTAACTCATCATTCAACGTCTCTTATGTCACTTCCCAACATTGGATGTGACATCATCCTGTCATTTTATTTTCCCAACATTCATCTTCCTGTTATATCCCATGTCTTGCTTTGTCCTCCAACTGACCAATTTCCTGTAGGCTGTTGCTAAAACAAATTCTGTGTTTTATGCATTTGAGCTCAGTTTCCACCCTTTCCGTCCAGGTTTTTCTGCACGTCAGTTTTATGCGCTCGTTGCACGTTGTTCATGAAATGATCACATATAGGGATAGTCTGTCCACATGTTTCAACTTGTGAACTGCTGAACAGATTGGATTAAATTTATTGTAGACATAATGCCATTGGTGTCTACCTTAAAATCATACTTTTCAATTTCCTACAGTGAGTTGTAGTAACATGGCAGATGAACAAACTTCAGTTTTTAATATTATATGGATTATTCCTTCAGGAATCCCCATAAAAATAATTATAATGACTGAAATCTGTTTTTATGATGCCACATTAATTCATGTCAATGTAATAAATATAGGTATCCTTTCTGATGACTACGGTTCGGATGTTCATCACATGTCATATTTTTATTGGGGCTTCTGTTTTCTTTCAAAACTGAAATTAAACACTTACTGGGTTATCCTAATCACAATTATGCTGTTTTTATTTTGCATATAATTGCATATTTATGTAATTTTTATGTGTTTGGTCATATTTGTAGTTAAATGCATATTTTGGTTTCGAGGATAAAATTCATATTTTGGTTATATTTTGAGGATAAAATTCATATTTTGGTGTAAAATTTTACTTGTGAATCCTTCAGTTAGTTAAGATGCTGAAAGTGAAATGCTCTGAAAGTGCGAAGTTAAGAGGTTTCGTCAAAGATTACTACGTGCCACATCATCCAGTTATTAATTACTCAAGTTCCACGGCAAACAGAAAAAACAAATATGCAATGACTTCAGACATAGAGAAGATGTATTGTCAAGTTATAGTTCACCCTTCAGACACCAGTCTGCAGATGATACTATGGGGAGAACATCCCAATCAACCTCTTAAGTCATATAAGTTAACAACAGTTACATATGGAACATCATGCGCACCATTCAGAACAAAGGCACCAAATAATTTTGGATCCTAAACACCATTTGACGATTATCATCACCAAGGATTGTCATCAAAGGCAGCTACATTGTGGTCTGACAGCACTGCTTCATGCAATGAGATTTTTGCTATGCTGGAAAAATACATAAATGAATTCTGTGCTTATGAAATTTGTCACAGCTCACATACTTATCTCAACCACCACAGTGGTCTAGCGGTCAGAATGCTGGGCTTGTAATCCTGGGGTCCCAGGTTCGATTCCTGGTGGTTCCCGGATTTATAACTTGTGTTGGGCAAGGCCGTGGTCTGGGCATCACGGAGTTCTCCTCCGGGGCTTCCCCGGTTTCTCCCAACAACTACTCCATTCTCATCTTCATCATCATTGTGGGTGCAATGTGAACTCGCCACCATAGGGCGCACCCTGGGCAACGCTACTCGGCGGAAAAGTAGTTCACTACGCCGCAGGACTTCACGGCCAGTGACGTAAGTCAAGAGCCACTTTTGGTCTTACAGATACATAAGGCGTACCATAGTGGGGGGCATCCGTATTCTTGTGATGTGTTCGATAAAGCACAGGAATGTGGATGATCCTCATTATGTACGTTCACTGCTTCAAGTCATTCTGTTTACTGAATGATTAACACCCATCACTACAATATGGACACTCCCCATTATGTATACCTTGATGTTGATTCGGATTATTGGCTGTACTGAATGATTTATCATGGTAATAAGTAGGGTTCAGATGTACATGACATGTCATATTTTTATTGGGGCTTTTAATTTCAGTTTTGAATGAAAATTGTGAATCCTTCAGTTAGTTAAGATGCCGAAAGTGAAGTGTTCTGAAAGTGCGAAGTTTAGAGGTTTCGTCAAAGATTTCGGTGAGGAATATTTTAGTTCTGATGGAACAATTCTGTTCTGTTAACTTTGTGAAGTTAAAGTTACAGCTGGTAAGGGATTTAATGTGCAACAACAGTGTGATAAGGCAAAACAAAAATAATTTGAGCTGACAAAGCAAGCAACGACTTCTGTTCTATAACACTGCAACACCTTCACCGTCAAACAAGACATCAGAATTTTCAAAGGACCTGTGTGAAATGATGGTGTCTGCCAACATACCATTGAACAAAGTGAACAATGAGAAATTCAAAACTTTCTTGAAGAAATACACGACTCATTTAATTCCAGCGAATCAACACTACGAATAAACTATGTACCTGCCTGTTATGAAGATGTTCTAAAAATGTTGTTATTGGTAAGCTCTTTGCTGACCGCCCTGGTGATTTACTCCCTCTTGATACAGTAAACCACTCCTCTATCGCTGTACTTTTTAATAACGCCATGAAACGTTTGTGATGTCGAAAGGAGCTTCTCAAGTTACAAGACCATATTGTGCGACAATCTAAGATTTTCAGTTGAGACCTTAAAAATGCACATCATTATATATTGTAATGCTGCCAAGAAAGGAGAATGAAGAAATGTGCATAATATTTTGAATTTTATTTATTTATTTGTAATTAATGAATTTGAAATGCACGAAAGACTTACTTAAAATTTATCTTATTTATTTAGGAGCACATATACTCAACATCTGATGCTTATCCAAAATGAGGCATTTACAACTTAAAGCGACTGAGGTTTTTGATTAAAATTGCTAGGAAATCGAGTAAAGTAATAGTTGTACATGCATATGCAAATAAATAACATGATTGAAATACAAAACGCTTTTTCTTAAATTTTGGCGAATATTTTTTCATAACAAATTAGGTCATATTTCGCCTTTTTTGGGTCATATTTAGCTATTTTTGAGGGCATATTTGCATGCATATTTCTCGGTTTTTTAGGTCATGAACATCCGAACCCTATTTTTGACCCTGCAGAGTCTGGCCTCTTTGGTACCAGGACCTGAATTCCTCTGTGCTTTTGATCATTTTGTGTTATGGACTAGACTTATTAGTGAATTGAAGGTGTTGAGCTGTATAGTCTGGTAGAAGTTTGCTGTAGTCTTCTTTCTTGCTGCCACCATCAGCCTGATGATGGAGGCAGGAATCACTTCTAAAACATCTGTAAGCTACCAGACTACATTGTGTAACATCCCAGAATATAGTCATCTTTGTACTCACCACCACGAGAATCTGAAATCTTGCCAGTGAATTGTTTGTGTAATATTATCTTTAATGTTGCTGTATGCAACGGAGAACAGGCAGGCAAATTCATTAACATGTCTAGTTTTCATGGGAAGTGAATATACAAATGTCTTTATTTTTTTTAATGTGCCATTGTGTGTCAGTGTGCAGAAGTTTGAGCACTGTCATACATAATAACTTTTTCTATAAATATGAAACATGTCTGTGGTTTCAGCCATCGCACTTATGACCACTGCCACAGTAGCCGGCTGTGACCATGGTATCGTCGCTAAGATCAAACGTGTAATCATGGATCGGGACACATATCCCAGGAAATGGGGCTTGGGACCCAAGGTATAGACTGTGCTGTTATCTATACCTGGAGAGAATGGCCTACATTGCATGCAGAACTAAACTTTTGTGCTTCATGATTTGAAGCCACATTTGTAGCAAATATAATTTAGTGTAATAGTTTTAATTATTTCATATCAAACATTGTTAAACTGGCAGCAGTGACTTACAAATATCTTGGATTTTCATCTCACTTATTTGAACAAACAGCTAATAAGTCTGCTGCTTACTTTCTGAATTATCTGGTGTGGTACATATGCATGTGGGGTTTGTTGCTGTTTGTAATATTTTAGCATAAGTACTTATCGTGTCTCTAATTAGGTCTCTGGTCTTTCTTAATGTTCAGTGTTGACTCTGCACTCTGTGAAACTCATTCATTTTTTATCTGTTAATGTATTTATCAATATTTGTCTTCCTTCTTAAATTTGTTCTTATTTCTAGTGGAGAATGATTTCCTGTCCTTATTCTTACTATCTTATTCTTTCAGAATATGTTTCAGAAGTACTCGGTCATAATCCTGTGACTACTTTCTTCTGATTATTTTCAGCGCAGCACACTTTTTGTTTTCCTCTTTTTCTTTCATCAATCTGTACATTGGAAAGCAGCGGCGATACAGCTTCTCCTGTTACAGGCTGTTCTGAATAGGAAATGTATTGGACAAA